GTAAGGTTGACAGAAAATAAACAGTTTCAATAAGTATGTAAATACATACATACATACATAAATACATAGAGGTTAAATCAAGTGAAGCCTCAGTTTTTCTCTCTCCAACGAGCTACTTCCTGAACTCAATCTGAATTGAATGTCTCTAACTAGCAGGCAGTTTTATACAACCACAACCTCACTTTTATAAATATTTACCAGAGTTGTCAGAAGTAAGTTAGTCTTTGCTCTGAAAGTACTGACTTTCTCTTCATTGTTAACCCTAGCTACATCTACTTAAACTCTTTACCTGGTATTTCTATAATGAGATATCTGAATTCTGCTCTCAAAGATGAATCATAGTGAAAAATCTCCATAAAAACCAAGTACTCCACCACTATTTTGTGTGCCAAGATAACAAAGTCCTTGAAGCCACAAATGATTTTCTAACTATGCCATGAAGTTTCAAGCCCTTACATTGGCCAGTTTATCAATAATATTGCAATGTAAAGGATGAAGACTATTCTACTTAAGTATGTGGTAGTGAATCTAGTCTCCTCATTAACACTCATTTGCCCTTTGTTTCACTATCCCACTTCTGTCATATATTCATATTTAAGAACTCAGAGTATACTAATTACACTGCTAATACACAAAATTCCTAAATATTGCATTAAATGTTTCATAAAATAAAATAAAAATTTGAACAACAAGCTACATAAAACAGCTTATTACTTAAATCATTGACCCAAAATAATCTTCAGTCTTAGGCAGTATCAAATGTTAATGTAGAGAATTCAAAGCACTTTTTTCTAATTTATGACTAATGTCCGCAAGATACATTAATAAAATAAAACTAAAATAAATCACCTTGAAGAAAACAGAATAGAACTTAGGGAATAGAATATAACTTTCTTTTCTAATTAATATGTTAAGGAAAATTTGAGATGTTGCATCCATAAAATTAACTAAATCAAAAAATTTTGATATGAGAAAGAGAAATAACAGGAAAGGGTTCTAAAAAATTAAAATATGCTTACCAAAACAAAATATTCAATGTTGGTTCTGGTGGGAATTGAGAAAATAGTCCTGAATATAGGGTAAAAATTGATCTCTTATCTCAAATATGTCTCTTATCTCTCAGATGTTCCCTCTCTTTTGCTTTAACTCTATATTCAGTTAACTTATCTATATTATAACTAGTAGTTTCTTCATTCTTACTACCTAATGTTTTATTGGAATGTTGACAAAAACCACATAGATATACCTTTCTATACTCAATAATTTGGAGTGGAGGGGGAGTTAGGAATACCAGCTACTGGGAATGATGCAGAGCAATAGAAATGTTATTTTCTGTTGGTGTGAGTATTGGAAAAATCACTTTGGAAAGCAATTTGCCAATATCTAGAAAAGTTAAAAATGCACACACTCTAAAATACTTTCCTACATGATAAAGGGGACGTCTCAGTCCTTTCACACTGCTATAACAAAATACCATAGACTTGTTGGATCATAAACAACAGAAATTTATTTTTCACAATTCTGGAACCTGGGAAGTCCAAGATCAAGGAGCTGACAGAGTTGATGTCTGGTGAGAGCTTCCTAGTTTGTTGACAGTCATCTTCTTAGCTGTGTCCTTACATGGCAGAAGGGGCATGGCTGGTATCTGAGGTCTCTTTTATAAGGGTATTAATCCCCTTCGTGAGAGTTCCACCCTCATGACTAATCACCCCCCAAAATTCCACTCTTTAATGGCATTACATTGGAAATTAGGTTTCAGCATATGAATGGGGGGGTCATAAATAGCCAATCCATGTCAGATGACATACACAGAAAGTTTACCGTAGCAAAAAAATTTTCTTAACTTTCCACTAATTGGAAACTGGGTAAATGTTGGCATATTCACAAAATAGAACATAATATGGCAGTGCAAATGTATGACTTGTAGTAAAAAACAAAAACAAAAACATACACATGGATAAATCTCACAAAAATAAATGTTGAGAAGAGTCAAGTCCAGTAAGAATTTAGACAGCATAAATATGTTTAGTTTTTTAAAAAATAATTGAGAAATACATAGTTAGTAAAAGTTTTTTAAAATGCATAAGGATGATAAACTGGATAATGGTCATTTCTGGAAAGGAGAGAAGGGGATACTATTGAGATGAAATCCATAAGTTTCCTCAGCTGTTTTGGAAGTGTTCTGTTTCTTTTTTTCTTTTTCTTTTTTAACATTTTTTATTGATTTATAATCA